TTCCCCTTTTCCTATCTATACTCTATCTCTGACAGATTGTCGAGCGCCCGACGAGTTGCCGTCAATTTTTTTTCACCCACGTGATGCTGATTCTATTTTCGTGAGCGACGTTTAAGCTTTATGACGACGACAGTGTTATGCTTACCATTCTTCACGCACGATTACGTTCGCCTGCATTCCGTCCTGATATCCAAACGCAGAATTTTCTCTTATTATTTTAACTTCTATAACACGACCATCATAGAATTTGGCGAAATTCATACTTTTTGTGTCGCTATGCTAAATGAGCAATCGCTGCTTATCCATAGTATCTATTTAAGTTAGTTTATTCAAGTGCCAACCACCTGATTATGTGCATTTTGTATCGACTAAGGCCGTTGTATGCAACTAAATTGACCCCTTGGAGCATCAACTCCAACCCCGTTTGATTGGCAGTATCATGCGTATTTTGTGTTAAACAAATCTACTTAACAAATTCTGTTATTTTGTCGTATTTTCCTTTGCGGAAGCCGTACATTGTTCACACCTCCATAAAAGCGGCTAGGTCAGTCATAATCACAGGCGTAAAAAATACACTCATAAAACAATCCCCCTCACCAATTTCCTAACCTTTGACGCGGCCTAAACAATTTTATTTACACAGCGTAACTAGATTAAACGACTTCTTTGTTCCCATAAGAAAATCAACTTGTCTAAGGCTCCTCAAACTTCGTCAGAGTCGGGTTTTTCTCGAACCCACCATTAACATTACCTTTTAAACATCCCCCCATTTGCTTTGCATTCTGGCCCTTTATCATATCCTAAGTTTAACTGAGAGGACAACCTGCGTCACTATTTGTATTCCAAGCCTCATAAGGCAACTATTGATGCATTTGACCTAGTGTACTCATTATTCCGTGAAATTCTTTGAACCGCGTGATTGGTTAGGTCGTGTATCAGGAATGATGGAATTGGTGACGATTACTCGAACAGCACGCTTCTCTCGTCTTCTTCCTCTTCTTCTTGTGCATGGCATAGTTTTTTTTGCGGAGAAGACCCCGAACGTGCTGGAGCCCTCAACACTGCATAAACTCAATTTTTATTTTCTGTGGAGTTTTTTCGATCTGCTTGGTATAGCCGATAAACCAAAATTGTCGTAAAAACCCTGAAGTTTCATTAAAGTCAACTTGGGAGTAACAGATGTCCACAGTTAACCGTCGGTCTCGTAGTTGTCAGCGTTGGCGTTAATTGTCATTCGCCCTTAAACAGAGCTCGTAGCACTTGATGTCTTCGAGACAACTTTAGATTATATTTCGTGACCCTTTACTTACGACTGCCAGTAAACCGTCGCAGAAGTAATTTAAGGAGCCTTCCGACTTGCGAGACCCATTGGCTTGTTCCTGGTTGAATGCTGTCTTGAGATGTCGCTTTTTTCTTTAAAACGTTGAAGCCTTCCATATGGAATACTTAAGGGCGACTCGACACTACTCCTTGCATAAGTGCCAGCACTACACTCCTAAATATTTACTCGGCTGACGTTATTGTACGGTTTTAGATGGCAAGATAAAGTCTTAGGGCGCCCTCTCTCCAATTTCCAATGAATAAGTACACCGATCACTCCTTGTTCCCCCTTAAATATCAACCTGCTTTGTTAATTATTCAATTTCTCTCGCCGATCATACCCTCATTCGGGTAATCTAACCAGCATTACGACGAGTCTTTCCCTTCTCCAAATAGTTATAGTGGGAATGCTTCCAATAGTTTTCTTAGTCAAACAGAATTGTATTTTTGAAGGATCCCATCAAACTCATCGGCTACGCACATTGTTTTTGACAACCTCATGTCCAGAAAACTACTTGCCTTCTATATGCCACCGAGTATCTCCGAATAGAGGAGCAGCCTGATTTAAAATGTGTCACAAAGTTGTGCTAAGCATTTTCTCCCTGTAGGGAATGCTTCCAATCGTATTCTTTTTAAGAAAAATGTATGCTTTTGAAATATTCTTTCAAAAACGTTAACTTCCCACTGCTCTTCACGACCTGGCATTCATTTATTAGCTCGTCCCTTCTATTACACATCTGCCTGCCCCTTTTCAAATTTCCTATCCAACAGCTGGCTGCAACGTCGGACCCCTATGTTTGCATTACACCTTCGATGTCTGTTACTAGTTTCCAACTCCTAACCTTTATGTGTATGCTTGATTTCAGTAAACAAATCTCCAACGACGATTTGGCAGTCCTTGACGACTTTTACAACTGGGGCAAGGACCTCCCCTCTGCCAAACTGGATCTCATCGGTAAATCCCTTTTGCGTATAATTCATACAATGTGCATGGTCATTTCCCTCTTGATCGTCGCTGATCTTTGAATTGTCAGCGATCTTGGCGTGCGTTTTTGCCGCATCAAGTGGTAGCAATAATTGTTCAATTTGGCCATGGCAAACGGATGTTTAGTTGCCAGAATAATGGCGAGCGCGCTCGACCCTCTGTATAAAAGCACATTCCAGCAACCAAGGGTGGAAAACAAGACAATGGGTGATAGGCAAACACACTGATAGGCAGATAATATTGCCGGCAAAGACAAGAGAGACTGGAATGGTCATTTCTGGCTAATTAGCCGTTGTCAGCCAGTCATACCCAGACCCACGTGGTGTCCCACCCGAACATCGAACTCGCGACCTTTTTGATCCGAGTTAAACACCCTAACCACTGAGCTATGAGCTCGTTGTCTTGCCGGGTTAGGTCGAATGATATTGACACCCATTGCTAAACGTTCACCCG